GGTATGCACCACCATGTCCAGCTATTTTTCTTATTTTTTTGTAAAGACAGTCTCACCACATTGCCCAGAGTGGTCTCAAACTCCTGGGCTCAAGAAATCCTCCTGTTTTGGCCTCCCAAAGTACTCGGATTACAGGTGTGAGCCACCGCACACCTAGCCTGAAAAACTCTTTACAAGGGACTGTGTAGGACCGTACATCTCCCCTCTAGGGAACAGTCTTAGAGACTGAGTTGTTAAAGCACACTTCCAAGATGATCATCACTTCCCATCTACTCCATGCCCTGCCTAGGCCAGGATGCACTAGAGATGGAGAAGCTAGCTAACATCTCTGACTAGGACTGCCTGCCTCAACACTAATAGGCCTGAAGGAAGGAGGAGCTCTGGCTTTTAGGAGCAGCAGGCCAGCCACCTGGACATAGGGGAGGGACTGTGAGCTCAGGCTCAAGTTACTTACCAGAGTCAAACCTCCAAGAAGACACGTGACCTAACATTATGGGGCTTTCTGAATCCAGACGGAAGGTCAACCTGCTGAGTCCCAACTCTGTACACATCAAGGTACAAATAGTAGCTGAACACAGACGGCAGCTCATCTCCTGAGACACTTTTAGCTAAACTTCAAGCATTCAGTAGTATGACAGACATTTAATCTATAACAACTCTACGGCATCGTTAGCCCCATTTTGTAGACAAGAAAAACTGAGACCCAGAAAAGATTAAGGCTGAACAGCTAAAGTGGTGGTGCTGAAATTCCAAGATTGCCATCAAACTTTCTATATTCTGGTGGGGGGGGAAGGGTGAGGGTAGGAAGAAAAGCCCATCTGTGTTTTCTGGTGACAGGTTCTAATCTGTCCTGGAGGTCTTGCTGGCTCACTGAAGGGCACATACATACCCACCAGCGCTATGGAAGAGGTCTGCAAAGATGAGCCTATGTCCCCAGAGAGCCAGCACCATTTCTCAGCAACGACTGTACACCAACTGCCCAGCCTAAAATGGCCAGCCAGCCCTGAAATTTTATGGCCTATTTATTATCTGCTTGCTCTGAGCTTTGTGATTAAGACCGTGGTTCACTGCTAGCTTCCTTTCCTTTGCTGCCTGTCTTGTCAGTCCTGGCAGCACCAAGGGCAGCCAACCCCCCAGCCCAGAGCGCCTCCTGAGAGTGCACAGCCCTGACTTCATCCTGTAGCTCCTCCCTCTCCCGTGTAATCAGAAGATTCCACACAAGAGATGTGGCCCAGGACCCATCTGCCCTACTTTCCCAACTATTTTAAGCAAGAAGGCTAAATTTTGCTTTCAACCAGCTGAACAAGATCATCCTTAAGCCCAAAAATGACAGGGGTGCCTAGTCCACCCAATACCAACCGTTAGTTAGAAGAGTCACAGGCTGAGCTCACCAGTACATGCCCCATGGGCTGGGTGATTTCCAGACAGGTGCCCAAGCATTTGGCCACCACACCGCAGACCATGTAGCAGTGATTAAAGGCAGCAGTGAGTAAGCAATTAGCCTTGAGGTAATTATTCTAATTAATTCAACTGGAGTCTGTTTTAAAATGCCCCATTCACCCTACAGGAAACAGTAGAAGGAATACAGAATGAATTGATATGAAGAGCAGGTAAAAAATAGTTCTCTAGAGAACAGCATTAAGAAGGACCCACCCAGGACCAATATGGGAAGGCTACAAAAAAAAGCAACTGACAACTGCATTTGGAAGAGTGTTAAGCACTTCCAGAAGCATCTCTAAGGCCTTGCTCAGGTTTACACACTGCTGAGTCAATGCTTGCCATGCACCAACACCTATGCTGATCACTATTAAATATAAAATCATATTCCTGCCATGCTGCCTTGGACTGGTACAGATACCACTACCACCATCGCCAACTGAAGTCTGAGTCAGATGACAATTACTAGAATCCATGTCCCCATCTGCAGAGCACCACTGTTTTCACTGGCCACTCCCTTCCAATATGCAGCTTTACTGCTCATCACCTCAGAGCTGGGATCCGTACCGGAAAATGAGCAAAAGCATCACTTCTTACCAGCTTACATGCAGGATTTGATGAGGGGCACTGCTAACAGGCAGGTGTTCACCCACCTGCTACCAAATAAGCTAAGTGAGCAGGTGGTAGCAGATTTAAATGTGTAGAAGGGTTCAGAACTCTACAGCAGTGGCTCTCAACAGACAATGATTCTGCACCCCTACCCCCTCCCAACATTTGGCAATGTCTGGAGACATTCTGGTTGTCATATACTTTACTATGAAAAAGAAAAAAAAATGCTACTGGCATCAAGTAGAGGCCGGAGAGGCAGCTAAACATCCTACAGTGCATGAACAGCCCCACACAAAGAATTAGTGAGCTCCAAATATCAACAATAGCACTGTTGAGAAGCCCTGATCTACAGTATCTCCTACCAGATTCTCTAATAATGAACTTCATCTATCTTGTATCAGCACCCACCTATGGCTACTTCTAGCTACCGCTGCCAAAGTCACTGCTGCTGCGAGCTCCCTCCACCCTTCTCTATTTGGCTAATTCCTAGTCACCCTTCAAGTTCTAGTTTACTTCCTCTCAAAACCTTCCAACACTCCAGAGAAATATGTCCCTGTCACTGTGCTTCTGCAGTTACCGTCCTTATCTACCTGTCTGAGGCCTCCACTGGGCTTGAACTCCATGAGGGGAAAAGCCATGTTTCAGGCTCCACCAAATCCCTAGCCCGAGAGCAGGGGATCATTAAATGGTCATGTATAAAAGCAAATACCCGGTCATGCGTGGTGGCTCAAACCTGTAATCCCAACACTTTGGGAGGCCGAGGAGAGAGGACTGCCTGAGTTCAAGGGTTTGAGACCAGCCTGGGCAAAACTTGGTGAGACCTCGTTTCTACAATAAATCAAAAAATTAGCCGGGTAGTTCCAGCTACTTGGAAGACTGAGGCAGAAGGATCTCCTGAGCCCAGCAGGTCAACACTGGGGTGGCTGTGAGCGTGCCACTGCACTCTAGCCTGGGTGACAGAGTGAGACTGACAAAAAAAAAAACAAAAAAAAAACAAGCACCCGTTTAAGTGCCCACCTTGTGCCAGGCTCTATATTGGACACCAAGTCACCACATTTAATTCTAATAGGCTTCAGAAGTTGGCATCATCCCCACTCTACAGATGGGAAAGCCAGCTCACAGAACGCCCACAAGAGCCCAAAGCAAATGAGAGGAGAGCTGGATTCAAAGCCTGGGGCAGCACTTTTCAGGACATGGCTGAGCCTCCCACATTATCTCCACAGCCAAGTCGGAATCCAGGAGGGGTTGAAAGGGACTGGAAAAGCTTTAGGACTTTACCAGTCTAAGGAAAAGATGAAGAGAATTTTCCCTATGATGCAATCCTGTTGCTGATCACTAACAGACAGGCATATTAAGAACTCGAAACTTCTTCAACCCAGGGGTGTGCCTGTCAGGAGAAGAGAAGGCTCAAAGTAAAAAAATGCCTTGTGATCTTCCCATTAAGCACCAGACCACTGCTAGACCTCCTGACAACCCTGAGGTCTATGACTTCGCAGAAAATGAACATCCTCAGAAGAGTGAGGTCCTTGTAGCACCTAGACCCCTTCAATGGAGTCAGAACAAAAAAAATCTTAAAGAGCACTACCAAGACATCCACCTGGGAGCACCACGAAGACCTGAGAAGTTCAGGCCAAAGGACAAGAAGGTTTGTGACAGGTAAGCTGTCCGCTACGTTTCAGATGTATAAGGCACAAAAGTACTGCTTCTGTTGCCACTGACTTCCCAGACTTTCACATCAGGTCTCAGACATCACAAGGCTCTGCTGCCATCCCAACATGAAAGCAGCCTCGACCGTTCAACTCAAATGAGATGGGTGACTTGACTTGCCCTTGGGATATTAAGAGGGCTCCAAGGACCATGCTTCTCCCCATGATTGGCCCCACTGACTCATATCAGAGTTTAAGCTGCTCATGACAAAAGCCCAGTGTGTCCTGATCCTGTATACTTGGTGGTGGTCAACCAAGCTGCTCTGAACAGCTGTAGTCTAGACCTCCTAAGAGGTTTTGGGGATTACTGAATTACCATTACTAGATTTACCTTTTTTAGGGTCAGAAGGAGACAGCTTCCAAATAAATTTTTACTTCATATAAACAGCAAAGGTGTACCAGCTGATACTCTCCTCTGAGGTCCAGGGCACAGAGCTAATTCCCAGCAGGATCTGGGACCCCAAAATAGGCCAAGAGTCTAAGTTCTGCTGCTCACGTAATTACAAGGTCTAATACCAGGTCAAGAGACCAGCTGTATTTTGTTTTATTAGGTCCTGATAACAGGCAACACGTTCTCACAGAGAACTGATGGGCTCTTCCACAGCCAAGGGAGGAGAATTTCAAGTGTGCTGTGCTCTATTCCTGGCCCTAGCTCTAATCTGTTCAACTCCAGGGAAGTCACTCCCCCTCCTGGGAATGGAGAACGTGTATCAATTAAATACTCTCAGGGGCCTTTGTCTGTATTTTCTGTTAAGGAATCCATGACCATTTTTTTTGTTAAGGAAACCAAAAGTGGCAGAACAGGAAAGACTTTTAGATAGTAAGTTCAACTCTTTTTCTAAACAGATTTGAATTGGAAAAATGACTTGCTTTAAAAAAATTGCGAAAGGAAGCAGACTTTAAAATCACAAAGAGACTAATGCTAAGAAATGGGTGGTGGGGAAAAAATCACAAAGGGAAACATCTGAGCTCTCTGGAAAGATGGCTTTAGATTAATTCTTAACAAGTTCACGATCTCGTCAAACCTGCCTTCGGGTAACAGAATTCCACACCGGTTCCCTGAGCCCTATTTTCTTGCTGTGTATGTTGTAAACACAGGCCCCTTCCCTTGCTTCCCACAACCTACAAATAGAAAAATGGGCCAGAACTGTAAAAAGTTCAGACTCCTACTAGCTGCTGCCTCCTGGGCCAGGGTGGGTAGCTAAGGCAGCAGGGTGCAGGGCCGCCCCCTCCACCCAGGTGGGTTACCTGAGCACAGTCACGCTCCCCCTGCGCACCGGCAGGGAAAGCACAGGTTCCGACACCCGGATAGGCTTGAACTGGAACTTGCAGCCGAAGCAGAGCGCGGAGTCGCTGAAGAAGGACACGGACACGATGGGGCGCTCGAAGATGTGGATGGGGTCCACGTGAGACACGATGCAGCCGCCGGGCTGATAGTCGTTGATGACGGCGCTGTTGACGAAGCCCTCGGGAATGACGCGGTGCTCCACCAGCTTCTGGATCACCAGCTGGTGCACCCACTCGGGGATCTCGTCCACGTCGCCCGGAGGGTAGAGGCGCTCCTGGCCGGGCCCGCGCTTCTGCAGCTGGGCGCCGTAAGTGTAGCCTTCGCCGAAGAAGTACTTGTTGCGCAGCGGGGCCCTGTCCACCGTGTGCTCGTTGTACAGGCCCTTTTCCGCGCGGGACACCACCTCGTCGATGCGGGCCTCGATCTTGGCGCACTCGTCCTGGCTGAAGAGGCGCATCTGGCGGATGCCGCTCTTCACCTTGCGGGCCTCCTCCTCCTTCTGCAGCTGTTGCTCCTCGTAGTCGCTGCGCTCCGGGTCCGAGTCCTCCTGATACTTGCGCTTGGCCCCGGACACCGGGTAAGGT